CCCGGCCCGACCCGGCCCGACCCGGTCCGACCCGACCCGGTCCGACCCGGTCCGACCAGCACGAACCCACGCGCGACTTTTGGCGTTTCAATGATTGGATGACTCATTTTTTGTGTTTGCGGGCGCGTCTCCTGCTAGGGTCGTTAGTCGCGTAAGTTTATTCCATATTTTATCGCGGGAAGTGAAGGTGTTCTACCCGTGCTGGGCGGTGAGGTCCGGCGCCGGCTAGCGGGCGCCTCTAACCGCAGCCAGGCGCCTCTAACCGGGAGGTCCTATGGGTCGAATCCCGACGGTGGCAGGCGCACGCAATCCCTAATCAACGGATCAACCCAAACAAGTATCTCCCATCGCAGCAAGGACAAGCACTAGCCTCCCGACTGGGGCCCCGGCAAGTGTGGTAGAGGAGTGCACGTAAGTGTATTTGTAAGGGGTGGGGATAAGACAAGGAAGAGGGAAAGATCGCGCGCCTTCCGAGGCCCGGTTGTTAGGGTTGTGCTCCGAGATTCACCTGATATTGACGGGAGAAACCACGTAAAACTACCGATCAGAGCAGCCGTTCGCAAAAACTCTCCCCCAGGGAGCGAGCGACTGAATTTCGCCTACTGCCTACTAGCTTGTGGCCACTTGCTATCTGGCTGGCGTCGAAACTCCTGCCACCATCGGAACTCGACCTCCAGGACCTCCGGGTCGGGTCTCTGCAGCGTAGAAAGTTGTCGCCTCGGGGGAGAGACGTTCGGATGACGTAGTTTTGGGAGAGGAAAAGCGAATGCGGCACCGGCTGCGGAGGAGGAGGCCATGACGTTACATAACAGCATTAGCCGTCAGAATCGGTCTTCCACTTCAGGTGTGGCTATCAAGTTTCTTAAATAGTATCTTAAATCTCGTAAATATAAAATACATTATTGAATACATTAACCGAAGCGATCAAAGACTACTACTTCGGTTACCGGGAACCTCCGTTATTACACAAACTAATCTTTTCACTATTTTTTTCACAGCATTTTACTGAAGATTCATATCATTATTCTCTTATGATAACTCACTTCATCCTTCCTTCCTCCAGTCGAACTTCATTAACTTCACATAACTAATGTACAACACTAAACATACCAATTTTGAAAATATTAATGTCGCTTCACAATTTTTTAATCTGGCGCTTACTTCTACACTTATTGAAAATAATGCCTGTATATTTAGGTATCTTGATATTAAATATATCATAATTTCTATAGAATGTGCCGGCGATGTTTTGCTAAATTTCTAGAAGTGAAAAACTCGAGTACGTACCCACGTAGGGTCAAACATAGAGCAGCATTGTTACGAACGGCATCAATACACTATTTAGTCAAAAACAAATATTTCATTCTAGGGACTTACAGACATGCAACTTGCAACATGCTGCTGAAAAAATCACAAATTGCTTTCCAAAAACTAACACGCTCACCGCTCAAGAACAAGAAACAAAATACTCTTGCATGTATTGCAATAAATTAAATATTTTATCGAAAAATTCTACACAAATACTGGAACAATATTTTATAGTATGTATGAATAAACAATACAAAAGTTCTTTGTTTACCAAGAGTATAAAAGAATGATCTTTCAGCATCACGAAACAGCAAATATTCAGTGACGTGTGGCCTCTTCCTTAAAGTCGCGTGACGTCATGTCGCAACATCGCGACGCTCTGCGTAAGAGAATTCAGTCGGTACGCGCAACAACCCAATCAAATGTTTGCATTTTCAGTCAAAATATAAACTGTTTGTTTTCCCCCCGAGTTCCTGCGTCTCTCACGAAACCATAGACCCTCTCACACCCTCCCTTTTCTTTAGGTTTCTACGCGCTGTAGAAATTAGTAAATATTTAACGTGTAGATTATACCTTAATATAATAAATATTGTTTTTCATGTATCACGTATTGAAATATATATTTTTGGAAGTTGAATTATTTTCGTACTTCAAATTTTGATCCAAAAATTGAGTTGATATATTTTTAATGTAATTAGCAGTGATCCACTCAAATATTCTCAAGTAGTCTTGTATTTAAAAGAAAGTACCCGTATCACCTCCACGCTATATTGTAACTAACAATTAATTATCTCTGATAAGAAATAGAGAAATTCCGATGTTAAGAGTGCTATGTTCCACCCTCACTCTGAACTGAAATGTAGTGTGCTCTTTTTAAGACTGTACCTGATCCTGGGCCGTGAGTTCGAGTCCCAAGAAGCATCGGGAAGCGAGGCTCCCAGACCGCGCCCGGGCCTCACAGTCGGCAGACGCTCAATCGTCATCGAGTGGAAGGACGAGTGGCTGCGGCGAATGCGCCGCTTCCAGCAGAGAGCACGCCACTGCCGCTAGATGATGCCAGCGCTCCTCGTGGCGGGTTGCAGGACTTCCAGCACGATCCGGTGGATTTGAAAACTGCAGCGCGTTACACAGCATTTTGATCAAACGCAATGCGGAAAACAATAAAAAGAAAGAAAACGGGAAATAAACATTTTCCTGATAATAACACTTAAAATGCTGACGGACGAAAACATTATTAAGAGGACTTTATTCGAGTCACGAAGTTGTCATGCGTCGTTAAATATTAAAAAAACTTAGAGAGTGAAAAAGGGTAAAGGGCCTTAATTATGAAAAATCATACGAGTCCATATAAATATTAGTGCATCATTAAAGAACTCGCATTTCATCAATAAAGATTGTATTACAAATAAAATAAAACTAGCACATCAACTTGTACGTAAATCATCTCATATTAGTATGAAATACATTTTTTCTGAAATTCTCTTCACATTTCACAGTTTATTAAACTTTGAAGAAGTTTAATTAAATGCCTAAAAAGGTTAATGTTTCTATGACAACCTTAGTGAATTTTAAATGCAATCTATGAAAAATTTTTGTAAGCAGAGTGTGTCATGTCAATCTTATCCGGCACTCAGCACCAAGTCTTCACTGTACAAATACTTTGTGGGTTTCTAAGAGTGGTAAAGTATTGACCTCACCCTTAATGCTGACACTTAGGACAACATTGGTGACACCATTAAACAGGAGTGTTCGGTTTCCTGAATTATGTACTCAAAGCACAGAAAAATATACAGGTTAATAAATATTAACTATGTCATTAAAGACAAAATTAAGTGCTAAAATTTTATAAATGCTCAACAATCCGTATCAGAAAGTATCCATGTGAAGATATCTACATAACATTTTCTAGTAGAAGAAAGGAGGCTCTGAGAGTGATAGTCCGATGGTGCCAGAACTAGAGACATCAATAATTATCCTTCCAGTCAATAAAGTAATTTCTCCCACACATAATTTTTTTTTAAAAAAATATAGAAAATTTCATCATAACATTATTAAAAATTTAATGGAATTCCTATTCAACAATGGTTCCAAGGCAAAGCAGTCTATAAGATGGGTTCCCCAAGGTTTCTTTGAGGTATTTTAAGTTTGGTAAATGTGACAGAAAAAAAAGCCTTTCAACACCTACAAATATTAGAAAATGATCATTAGTGTTCTAGAATATTGATAAAAAGTATAATGGTTATAATAAAACAAAATTTTGGAACTTACTTTAATTTACACTGAATTTAATAAAATTTAATCAGGTCCATGAGAAGAAACCTTATTGAATGCAGAAATTCATTGCAAAATTCCAAAATCTATGAAAATTTTGGGATATTTCTTCAATGAAATAAGAAACATTAATGGCGAAACCTGAAAGACACCCAAGAATGTGAACTTAGGATGTGACTGTTAGGTTGAAACATGTTTCATAAACAGTCTTTACATCATGACAGATTTGGAAAATCCTGAGGCCAAATTGACTGCCATGAGTAAAAATATTTCAATTTTTGAAGTTCAGACACACAATTTTAATTGCTATTTAGAGGAATGAGCAGTCAAAAATTTGGGTTGGATTTCATGGGGATTGTGACCCC